AAGGAATGAAATAAAAAATAAAACTCCTCACGTCTTCGTCTCGTATGACTACGATGAAAATTGACGTATAAAGTCAACGCGACCGTCAACAAAAGTCTCTCAACGCATGACAGCATTTTTAAGGCCGAGATGTCAGCTATTCTCTCTCTCACTCGCACTTGCATTCTCTATCTGTCTCTTAGCAAACCATACAATTCGTACTTCCATCCATCCATTACAGTCCATACCACGCCATACAGCATCATCATCATCATATGACCCCCGTGTGTGTGTCACGTACAGCATTTAGCATTTATTGTGCCGCTTCATGAGTTTCTTTTTTTTTTTTTCCTTTTCTGTTTTTGCTTTGTGAGACACAAAAAATTCAATTGGATTTTCTTTTATTTTCTCTTTGTTTTTTTTTTTTTTTTTTTTTTTTTTTTTTTTTTTTTGCTCTATTTGAGCAAGACAATATATATATAGGTGTAATATCAAAAGGCAACAACTGTTGGCAGCATAGAAATTATTATTGTTATTATTATTATGATGAGACCACAAACGTCTGTGCGCTGCAAAGCAGGCAACAGTTTTTTTTTGGCTAAGCATAACTTGATTAGAGAGCGTAACGGATTTAGTTGACTTAAAGGTGTTGAACTCAGCTCATAGGAAGACATCATCAATGGCAAAGTGAATTGCAAATGTTAAATGTCTTTAAAGAATCTATTTCCTTTTATAGCTGCATTATTATGTTGGAAAATTCCTTTTGATTGCCAGCAAAAGATGTGCAAAATACTTTGCCTTGGCCCGCATATTAAGTTTTTGTTGTTGTTGCTATCGTTCGCTGGAAATCTTATAAATTTCTACACAGAATGCACATTTAGTTGGAAAAAAAAAAAGAGAACATCGCATATGCAATTCATTTGCCAGCATGCTGAATGCAAGACAGAGAGATGGAGGGGAGTGAGTGAGGGGGAGAGTATGAAAGAAATATAAAGCTCTTACTTTATATCTTGATGATTTGTGGTGCTGTTTTTCTCATTGCCAGAAAATTAGAGAATTGGCACACACACAGACATGCAAACACTTGAAAGTGTGCGTGTGTGTGAGTGTGGAAAGCTAAAAGAAATTAGAAAGCAAACCGGTTGCCCGAGTGCCAGTGTGCTGGCATTTATATGCAAGTTAATTAAAACCAAACTAGTTACGATGCTGCGTTGCCGTTTTGAAGTATTTTTTTTTGCGTTTGTCTGAAGAAAAAGTCATTAAAAGCTGATGCCAAGTGCGCGCATACAGTGCGTATGATTGATAATGAGTTTTGCAGCCAGACGGAGTTCGAGACATCGTCGTTGTTGCTGTTGTTGGCTGAAGTTGGTGTCGAGTCGAGTCGAGTCGAGTTGACTTGAGTCGAGTCGAGCCAGTGCCAATACGTTGTCTACTGACTGCTCAGATGGATGTCTTCATCTGTGGGCTCTGGGCGCTGTGGCATGCAATGCTAAGAATTTACAATGCTTGTAACGGAACTTATTATTTCATTGCCCCCTACAGCTGCTCGTTGCCTGAAGGCAGCAATAGCAGGCTGCTGCTGCTACTGGCTGCTGTCTGTCCGTGTCTGGCAGTTCACAGCATGCGGCAGTCCGCCCGACCGACCGACAGACAGCCCTGAACTGTCGTCTTTAGCGTATTCTGGTCATGTGTTGTGTTGTGTGCTGCTGTCTCAACGCAACCTCCGGTTCACACTCCCATAGAGCCATGAGCATGACAGCGTCGTTGGTGTGTGTGTGTGTGTGTGTTTGTTTGTGTGCCCTGTCTGAGCAGGAATCAAATCTTGGCTTATATATAGTGTTCTCTCTACCTTTTTATTGCACACTTGTCATACCTGCACCGCAATTTGTATGGCAACATTGAAAGCTGAAAGCTGAAAGCTTGGCATTCAAGCAGTTATGTTAGTTCAAATGTGAAATATGCATGCAATTGGTTTAGTTGAACATTTCTAATTTTTGGTGTGCCATTTGTGAGTGTGTTGCTGTTGTGTTTGGCATTCGCAATTCCATCTGATGAATTCATGAAACTCTTGCGACAGACTGCCAAAAACTTTTGCGTACTTTTTGCCTTCGTTTGATAGATGAAATTTTTCGTATATATGCTGCTGAATATATTATGTACAGATGGTTTTGGGCAGAGGGAGGTGGCTGGACGTAGTAGGTGAAACATGAAAACTTAATGCATTAGTCGGACACAAATGTCGAAAGTTTATTGTAAGGCTCTGCACACATGTCCGGAAAGTCAATGCTTAAAGTTGAGAGGAATGGATTCGTATGCTAAGATAACTTGGCCATGGCTGTGAGTTTTGCGATATATGCGAACAAAGGTTAGCTCGGACAGGGACAGCAGCAGCAATGTGAGGCTGATTACAAAGGTTCTGCATTAGTTTGCATTTGTAGAGCAAACAAAAGTTTCTTTGAAAAGGAACAGAATTGTCAATGGTAAAGATGTTCGGCTAGAAATGGAAATGAATTTAGTCGTCAAATTAATTCATAACGTCCCGTTTGAAGATTGCATTTTTATATTTATTTAGCCAAAAGTGTGATTTCAAATTAAATATTGGTTATATACTTTATTTCTATTATATTTTAGTATATTTAATTAGCACTAAATATTTCTAGAAAATTTGCTATACATTTTATATATATATATATATATATATACAACAATATTCATAAATTTAGCAGTCCTCTACGTAAAAAAAAATATTTGCAATTCCAATGAATTTCAATCGGTATAAAATATATTATTAACTATTGATACCTTTTCATTTAAGGACAATTTTTATTCTTTGTATTTTTACTATTTTTATTCACAATTTCTAGGAACGCGCGATTTTCAATTCAGTTCCCAAAATCCATCAAAAAGAAAATTAATTCAGTGATTTTTCGAAATTCTCTTCATTGCATTCAATTCTAAACAAAATTTGGGAATCATTTTGTTTTTCAATGGAAAAATTTCATTTGATTTATATTTTTTTTCTAGTGCAACGCTTCTATTTTTATGAACTCAAATATATATACCATATAAACATTGCGTTAATAGAGAAATAAATTATTATGCTACTATAGTCATGTAGTTCAGATTTTTAAGGTTTTTGTTGAAGTGAAGTCCGAAATAATAGATTAGTGTCCCATCAACAAAAAAAAAAAAAAAAAAAAAAAAAAAAAAAAAAAAAAAAAGTCTTAAATTTTATTATATGTCATATTATATATATATCATATTATATATATATCATATTATATATATATCATATTATATATAAAAAACTTATTTAATTTAATAAATAATTAAAACTATGTAATTATTAATTAAATGAAACCATAGTTCATTTTCTTCAATGGGATCAGGTTATAAAAATATAGAAGCACCTGAAAAAATTCTATACATTTCTCTAATAAGATTTCCATTATTTAACTGAAAATATTTTCTAATATTTTGCTGCATTTTCTAACTGTAAAATATAATTAAATGTATCCCTATATGAATTCTCTCAAAATTCTTGTATATGTTTTTTCTCTCCTTGATTCTTTATCCACACCAACAAAACTTTATTTTACTTTGTCATACATTTCCATAGCAAAAATATCAAACGAAGCAACATTTCATAAAATACACTCCGCAATAAGTTTTGAACATAAACTTTAGTTGTTAAAATCAACTTTAAATATTTGCAAAGCAGTCTGGTGCCTTTTATATTTATAGCAGTCGGCGGGCGTCTTTCTTTCATTTTTGAAGGCGACTGCTACAAGCTGTTGCAGTAGTTGGATTGTCACACCTGGACAGCGCAATAGATTTGCATATTTAGAAACAAAACATGGAAAATATGCATGCAAATAATTGGGCGTGGCAGCCAAGGGGGCCGGCTGGAGCATTGGAGGACTGGCTATCAGTGAGGCTCTTGTTGCTGTTGTTGTTGTTGTTGTTGTTGTGCCGAGTATCATGTCAATGTAAAGTGCACGCGGGCAGCCAAATTATGCGCATTTATTTAGTCGTTAATGCTTTTTACATTTTGCGAGCGACCCGCATAAGACAAAGTCAGGCAACACATAGACAGATAGAGAGAGGGAGAGAGAGCGAGGGAGAGATAGAGATGGGTAGATAGACGGACGCTATGCTATCTCTAGGCAGAGTTGCCGTTACATGGGGAATTAGTGCGCATAATTTCATAAACAGCAACAGCAACAACTGCTGGAGCTGTTGCTGGCAGCCATCGCGTTGGCCTGTGCAAATATTTTGGAGCCCTGTACTCTCCGACTGTTGCTCCTTGGGGAAATGTTGTTTGCTGCTGCTGCTGGCAAAAACCATTCAGAATCACATGCGAAGTCTGCATATAAAGCTATGCTGGGAATTTGCTCTGCTCTCGTACACGAAAAAGTAAGCGAATGAATAAAAAAATATTTAAAAAATAAAAAGCGAAGCAGCAGCAGCAGAAGCAGAAGAAGCGACGCTGTGTATGTTGTATATCTGTACTAAATTGCACATGAAGTGATTTCGAGCGTAAGAAATGCCTTGGGTTGAGTGAGGGGGAGTGGGAGAGGGGCTGGGGCAGGGGCTGAGGCTGATGCTGAGTCTGGGGGCGCAGCCATCGATAATATATATGTGAACACTCGGTTATATGTCCCAAACGAACGGTGGAATATGCATATAAAAACTTGGCGCAGTTTCAAAGCTGTATGTATGTATGTGTACATGTTTATGAATATGTATAAAAACACATTTCATATCAAAATTACAACAACGCACACGATAGTAGCCTTATGATGAACGAGGCATGCTGAGCGTTCTCTTGCTGTTGTTGTTGTTGTTGTTGAAAAAAATGCCGGAAGTCGGAAAAATGCCACAAAAGTTGAGTCAAGTCGAGTTGACTGAAGAGCAATTTGATTAAATACATTGCGCAAATTTTACAAAATAAATTAGCTAATATTTATTAAAAATATTTCATATATTAATTGTTTATCTTTCTCTCTTTTTCTTTGCAGTGCGAAAACTAAATACAAACGCTAAGCAACAGTATTTTTGCTCAACATTAACATAAACAAATACTAAGCATAATATACTAGAAATTCTATGCAAATTCGTATCTAGCAGTGATTATTTGTTGCATTTTTAAATCGAAGGAAAACCCCAAAAAAAGAGAAAAGAAAAACAGCAAAAGGAAAGCAGAAAGCCACAAGAGAGACGAGGATTAATAGAACGCAGCGAGCTTAAGCCAACAAAACAAAAAAATATTAAAGTAAAAATATAAACGTAGTACGATTAGTAAAAGACACCACCAATTTAATTTTCAAAGGAAACTAAAAAAAAAAAGGAAATAAAAATAATAAATTAAACAAAAACCAGATTAGCCAAAATTCAAATAGATGTCGGTGTGCATTATATTTTGATCATATATGAACAATATACTGTACATATAGCAAGTATATATATCAAATATATATATATTTACAACTTTAGCCATAAATCGCAGCTAAAAGACAAACAGTTCAAGGATAACAAGAGCGATAAAAGATCTAGTAACGACCGCCAATCGGTCAACACTTTGAAGATAATTAACAATATAAAAGACAGAGCAGAGAGCACAGAGCGCATCATATAAACAATATAATAAATATAAAGCAACAACAACAAAAACAAAACAAATAATGGAGGACAATAACACAAGCAGCAGTGCGAGCGGTGCGCCCATCAAACTGGAGGATCCATCGGTGACACTCACAATAAGGCTGATTATGCAAGGAAAGGTGAGTGGAATAACTGAAGATATTATTGTATTAATAATTAACGTATATATGAACAACACTGATATTAAGCTATATGAATTAAGTGCTTGTGAAATGAGTATATTTAAAGCAAGGACAGGCTTGAGAGCTCTACAACAAGCTGATGAGTTTTAAGAAAATGTTAAAGGGTTTACAACTTGAATTTGAAGCAGTAGAGATTTCAAAAGGTGAGAGCTTTAATATAATTTGAAAGCTTTGATGTGGCTTCGAAATGGAATTATGTTTGTCAGTCTAATAATTTATGCCATATGCTAAAGGGCTTCAGAGATTTGAGGATAAACAAACCTGAAAAGTTGTGCTTTGATATAATTTTCAGACTTTGATATGGGCTATTAAGTTAAATTATGTGCTACCACGTTATAAATAATTCAAGGCGGGATAGCTTTAAAAGGGCTTAATAATAAGAGATTTAATAAAGTCTTATAGCTTTTGACTTGAAATAAGTCAGATTTTACAAGAATTTAAGCTAAAACTTGTAAACTTTGATGAAATCTTCAAATTATAATGTATAGCACTTTAATTTGACTCAATTCTAACAGTTAGTTGGCAAAAAAACTTTTTCTATAAACTTAAAGTTGAACTAAAACCTTTTTAACAATGACTACTTTAATTCAGCTGATTAACTAATTTGCTAGAGTGTGAGCTGTTAAACCAGACTAAAAGGCTATAGAAAGTAAATAAATTTACAGCTGATTCTTTATATAGTGTGAACTATACTAAACATAACTTTGCTAAATACTTCTAAGCTTCTAAGCCCATGAATTTATTGTAGAAGCTAATAGCATGGCGTTATATATTCTTAACTAGGATTTTAAAGCTAACTGAATAAATGGCTTAAACCAGGAATTTAAAAAATATATTGTAGATTGTGAAAATGTTTTTATTTTTACAACTGTCATGAGGTATTCCATTCAGCATTTGTTTTGTCAGTCCTTGAACAAAGCTGACAGCGTTGAAAAGCTCTTGTCAATCAGTTCACGTGCCGAGAAGTTGCGCAACATAAAAAGGGATATTATTTATGTGGCCTTTCGTTGGGCTTTGCAACTTTTTAAATGGGGATTCTAAGAGCAGGTGTAAGCGTTAAAGCGTTCCATTGAATTATGTCGTTGTTAAATATTTATAGAAATACGCAGCAAGCTCTCAAAGCTAATCCAGTGTTATACAAATACAGAGAGAGAGAGAGAGAAAGGTGGATGAAAAGAGAGTGCGAGAGAGAGAGAGAGAGATTGTGAATACAAATGCAATCAGAAACGGTGGCAATTTAAATGGAAAGTAATTAAAATTATAAATTGATGCGTAAATTTTGTATGCAAATTCGAATTAAATACGCCACACTTCACGCATTATTACAAACCAAAGAAGAAGGACAAAAAACGATATTTATATATATATGTCTAATATATGTATATGCAAATACGAGAAATATTATTTACAGTCATAAAATGCGAAGCAAGCATCGGCTATTAAATAATCATTACAGCACACAAATATTGTGAGTAATAAAAATAAGTAATAAAAAAACAAAAAACACATCAATAAATGTCATAAAAATAAAAGGCAGAAATGCAGCTGAACAGGCAGGTGGACAGTGAGCTCTGATACTTATATAAAAATATGTATCTTCATATATACATATATACAATATATCAACCAGGCTCATCATAAAAGAATATATCAAGCATATATGTATTTTATTGAAAAATAATCGTATATTATACATAATTAAGCATTTGTTTATATAAGGCAAAGGACAACTGCGAACGGCGGCAATGGCAATGCAAATAATGTAAAATAATATTGGAGCGCAGTAATTAGGCACGCGTTGAAAATGCAGCTCATTAAAATATATGTATGTAGATTAAATAAAACATTGAGAATTTAAAGGGAATTAAAAAATGAGAGCAGTAGTTATACTCTTATGCTCATTAATATATTAAACTGATTAATGAGTTCATTGGAATTGTATAATGTGAAGCAGCATTCACTCAAATACTCTCGACTAAAGCAGTTTTTTTTTGTTTACTAAAAAATTAACTTCAATTTAGAATTTCCATGAAATGAAACACTCAATATTTATCATGTAAAATAATTTTCTCTATGTAAAGAAAAATAAATTGCTATTTAAAATTATTCAAAAAGAATAATTTATTAAAAAATAAATAAATAAATAAAATAAACAAATAAAAAAAAAATAAATAAAATAAAATAAAATAAATAAAATAAAATAAATAAAATAAAATAAATAAAATAAAATTAATAAAAAGAAACCATTGTCCATATTAATCTAAAGTCAATTTCATAGAATAGACTTAAATAATTTGTAAAAAAAAAAAGAAAAAAACTTATATTGGCTTTAAGAGAATGATTTCCAAGCATTAATTTTCATTTTTATAGCTGTGTTAATTATAATAAAAATAATTATATTTAATATTAGTTTCATAGAAAAAATACCTTACTTAATTCAAATAAAAAAATAAAAATTAAAAATCGCCTCCAACTTTTTCTGTCTCGCTCTACTATTTGTCAGACAGACACAAAAGAAACCGAATTTGTTCATTTGGAGCGGCCTATCAAAAAGTTTTCTTTTTTTTTTTTTTTCTTTCGATATTTGTCAAAAATCAAATACCACATAATAGAGCTGATAGAGCTCAGTCACAGATAATTATCATTTGCGTAAAAGCCGTTGTCAAGCCCGACTATCATTACAATCAACTACAGCTAAGCTTCAATGTGAAGCTTAAGCCACGCTAAAAGAGTGTAAATATCAGCTTATTTATTTGATAACAGTCAACAAACTTCAAAAACAATTATGCAGTGACATTAGCTACAGTCCATGTGGGGGGCTAGGAGAGGAAGCGGTTGAAAAGCTGTTTGTGTGCCACTTCAAATTCAAATGTGGCGACAGCACGTGCTGGCTGAGCCGTCAAAAGCTTTTGGGCCAAAGCTGTCGTTAAACTCGCGCTGATCATTATTTAAAAGCCGATTTGCAAGTGTGACTAGCGTTTGATTTATGTAAATACACACTTATATATATACATATATATACTGGCCCGTTGTTGTTGCCAAGTTATGTGAGTGCAACGAATTGCAGCGACAGGTGCAGCAATAGCAACAGCAACAAGAGCAGCCACAGCCACAGCAGATAAGGCGACAGAGCGACGCACTGTCAGCCGCAGGGTGCATCAAGGGAACTGCTCTACACATTGCATGATGTGTAGCTAAAAATTGGCAACTTGGCAAAAATATCTGCAGACAATTTATAATAAAAATAGAACAACAACAACAACAAATGACAAGTGAAAAGGAGAACCTACGAAGAGGAAGGGGGGCTGAGCGGTAGGAGTTGGGGTGCCTCGATCAACGGGCCATGGTATTCACATATATGTATGTAATTGCGCACTCTTCAGTGCTCAAGCTAAACTAAAATTAAGTATTCGCATATGTAAATGTACAAATCTTGTTTTGCTCTTTTTATTTTTGGCCAGTTTTTCGCAATGTGTTCGATTCGCAAGTATTTGATACGCCGCTGCTCAAGGATTCAGGCAATAAATTCTCAAGACACTTTGAAAAGCGCCGAATAGCTGCGCTAGCCATCTCTCGCTCGCACTCTCTCCCGCTATCTCTCTCTCTCCCGCTATCTCTCTCTCTCTCTCTCTTTGTGTGTGTTGGTCTTTTGATCGATAGTTATAGATTAGCGTGATTTATGAGCGGCGTCGTTGTCGCCGCTGCTGCTGCTAGCTGAGTTGACAAATCCTCACACATACAAACGCACACACACACATGCCAGAATATGCAAATACATTTTAAGCGCAATGCAAATCAAGTGGCAAATAACAAAAAGAGAGAAGAAGAAAAAGCGCTTTGAATGTACACAAACAACATCCGTGTTGACTTGTTTAATTGAGCATGAAATGAAGGGATTTCTATGTGATGTACCCTGTACAGATTAAGCAACTGCAGAAGGGGTATAATAGAGCTGCTTAGAAGTAATGCATTATATAATAGAATAAATGTCTATATATTAATAAATCAAGGGTATTTGTCAGTCGTTAATACCCAGATAAACACATTTATATGCAGATTAAACGGATTTGCGGTGAGTGTGCATAGTTGACCTAATGTATTCTATAATAACAAAAGTTAGGGTAGGTCACAAGCTTCCAAGTTAGCTGGAATAATTACCATGCCATATTCATGAATGCTTTTAGCATTAGTGTTGAAATCTTTCAAGCTTGAGCTGCGACTAATGAAGTAGGTATATGAATATATATACATATGTATAATTTACGATGACTCACATATATTCATTTCTGCAGTAATAATTTGCACTATAATTTAATAAATATGTGTATAAATAAATTAAAAACAGGTTTTTTTTTAATTGTATATAAAACTATATCTCAAGTTAATTAATCATTGAAGCATTTCTTCTCTCTTTCGCTAACTACAGTTGTTTTATAAATTTGTGTCCCCGATTTTGATGATTTCTGTTACATTAGCATTATTATGTAAAGACATTTTGGTTAGAGTGCATAGATAAATCGGTTAATTATAATTAGACAAGAGACTGTAAAATATTGCGCATTGAACACAACCAAAATTCACGACAAGATGCTGCATTCTTCTGCTCTATGCAATTTCACTAATTAAAAATGCATGATTCAAAAATAACAACTACTAAAATAACAACAACAACAACAAGGGGAGCAACGGCAGCAGCTGCTGTAGAAAATACGTATACGTAGCGTATGCATATATGTATATGTATATAATGTATATGTGTCTGGCTGACAATTGCAAAATACTCGATAATTCTGGGCGAGAGAGTGCAACCCACTTTTAGCTTTGGTTTCTATGCAATTTGCGGCTGACTGCCAAAAGACAACAACAACAACAACAACGGCAAAAACAAGCTAAGGAAAAAGCAAGCCAAATACCAGAACCTTAAACAACACAAAAAG